ATTCCCATGGTCTGTAGTGAAATGTAATGCCACGTTACTCCTCCCCCGCTTTCGTCTTTTTCCCGAATGTTACTGAGCTGGCCTATATTGCCTGTGACTAGAGGCTGCAGTCCCCAAGCGAACACTGTCACAGGCAACTTTTAGAAATCCACAGCTTGGTACTCGTGGTGGCAGGTCTCCCGGCTCGTAACAGGTAGTAAAACAGGACGAGTTGCTGCCGTGGTCCTATCGCCACTGGCCCAGTAAGGGAAGAATAAGAACCTATTAGCGCCGTGCCGGACCAGTACCAAATACGTGACCGTTCCAAAGCAAGAGTAGAGTGCAGAGCCAGAACAAGGACGCCGAAGCACACTTGAGTGCAGTAGCCCCCTCGGATCAGTCGTTCCAACCTTCAACATTCTGATCCACCACCTCGTCGACCCCCGACGAATATCTGTGGGAAACCGAACTAGTTTTTCGAACCAGAAACAACCGTTCCGAGCCGCAGCGGTCTGTGCCTGCCAGATCAATACTGAACTTGGATCACGTCGAATATTGTATAATGCCGCAATCCCGTWACAATGTCGAATCATTACCATACSAATACCRTAGCCGACTYTCAGTTCGAACCAYAACAGCCYGCATCGTGGCRATGCCGAGTCAACACCGGACCAGAAATAGCCATCWCGAAYGAYAGTAGTCTGTRTTATKTTGGCGTYAACCATGCTCTKAAYCACCGTACTCGAACCAATGCACCTGGAAATTAAAGCCAGGKCGTCGTATCATGTCTACGCTGAACCGTGCAGCCATGTCGTGATAGTTCCGAATCTGYTCCRAACCAAAGTACCGTACCRGAGGATAYCGGATGTGGAATCGCTCAATTTCGTACCAGCCCCGAACCTGAAAATAGTGCAGCARYGTGTACTACACCRATGCCRACCCAATATCTTGCCCGAAATATGTCGAATATYGTAGAATGGAACACCYATRTAGCGACGTCAAACCTCYCCGCACCATGCACCCAAACCGAAGYRGTAATAACACCGACACAAACGAGCTGTGAGGCACAATCGAGCAACACAGTGGTAACACCCCGCGTCCGTCCATCTCGCACTCGTAGTACACAGGTTAAGGTAAGRGTTGGAGATCAGGGAAGTCGGATAAGCCACGCATGCGAATCCCAATCATCGCAAAATAGTGGAAATCGCCAGAATTAGAGTAAATGAAAAATCCGGGGGTGATTCCGATTTTGAATTTAAATTTAATATTAAAATTAAAGAAATGCGAGTCTCCATCCTCGCATCAATTGGACAACGTAAAAGGACCTCGCCAAAGCCTATCCTCAAACTTCCGTCCCATGGCCCGTCGTCTCGGGAACAGGCTTGGAGCGGGTGGAAATGAGGTAAACAATAAGGCAACCGTCAGGGCGGCGAAGCGGTAGTCCCTCTCGTCAATTTTGAAGGCTAGTCTTGATGGTTGACACATCCGAAATTAGGGGTGACCTGACTATCCCTAATTTCTCCCAGCCAGTCGGACAAGACTCCCGGCCGATTACCTCTCAGACAACTTTTCTACGGTTCAACCTCCCGGTATTAGGGCGACCGACTAGCCTTCGGTCGCCCGACAAACAAGCCCGGACCTCCTCTCGACGTCCCCGTCGAGCCCGCTCCGCCAAGGTCAGACGAAACGCACCAGATCTAAGCGGACCACTCGTGCTCGACGCAAGTGCCTCCTCTTGTTTGTCGGGCGTCTGGGTTTCTCAGGAATTCTGGGGCTGAGAAGGTGCTTCTCTCCTCTCTTGCGTCGCTGTCGTTTGGACGTTAATACCGGAATATTTCTTCGCTTCTTTCTTTGTTGGGGAACTCGCGTGACGGCTGTGCCACTCTTCCTAATCCGGACTCTTCTCTTAGGCCTTTGTAGAACAAAAACCCATTTCCTTTTCTTACCTAGCATTAGGCCCTTCACTTTTCTGGCCTCAACCCTTTTCCTCTTCCTTGAACTCCCACCTACCTCGAATCGTCTTGGTGGTCCTCCGTCCACTATCTTAGCTTTACCCTTTCCTTTAGGATCTGACGGTCTCGGCGCAGGAGTAGGGGTCTTCCTTGACCTAAACAACTTCAGTCTAGCTCCTGCCACCGGATCCTTCCACTTGGATCCGTCTAACTCAGCAATCATATAGGCTCCCCAGCTCAACGCGCCAACTACACGATAAGGTCCCATCCATCTGTTAGCTAGTTTCCCCGTCCATGTCCTTTCCAAAGCGGCATCGTAGAGAAGTACCATATCGCCGACTTTTATCTTTTCCTTTCTGATTCTGACATTTTTGTCCCATCTCACTTTGTTATTTTCTCTCTCTACTGCCAATCGATTGGCCGCAGTCATGAGGTTTTCCTCTACCCCGTAAGCTATCTGTCTAGTCCTGGCTGCCAGTAACTCCTCTCGTGTCATGTTATCCGCCTTGTTAACCGTAGTCCAACTATCAACATGGAACTCTATAGGTAGAGGGCAGTGCCTTCCAAACCATAGAGTGTAAGGAGGGTAGCCTGTGCTAGCTCGGACAGTGACATTGTCCGCCCATATCGCATACCTGAAATACTTCGGCCAGTCGCTATCCTTCCCTCTACACCACTTAGATAAGGACGGAATCAATGACTGGTGCCCTCACTCTATAGGTGCATTGGACTGAGGATGATAAGCAGTAGCAATAGATACTCTAGCTCCTGCCCTCTTGAATACGCTCTGTACCTCGTCTGCTAGGAACTCTGCTCCTCTATCCATCACAATCTTACCGACACATCCGTATCTAGACAGATACTTCAGGACGAAGTTCTTAACTTCTCTCGCGGCCTTTGTTCCAATGGGTTTGCCATCGACAAATCCAGTGAAATCATTCCTGGTGTTCACTACATAGTTCATGTTCCCTACACCCTTCGGCATCTTTACCAAATCAATATGCACTTTCTCTCCAGGTCTAGTAGGATACGAAGGGTGAAGTGGCTCCTTATATCTAATTTGGGACCTCTTTTGGCAGTCCTCACACGTTTCGCAGTACTTTTCAACGTCCTTGTACTGTCCTTCCCACCAGTATAGCCGGCGAACCTTCTCATACGTACCTTTCACTCCTCTATGTCCTCCAACCACTCCGTCATGTAGCTCTGCTACTATGGACTGTTTCTCCTCTGGATCGCAGACCACCCGAAGAGGCATCCCAACTCCCACAGGTCATCGGAATAGATGCCCTGCCCTAAGGCAATACTGTGCTGCCTGTCTCCGGATCTTCGATTCGGAACTCTCCTCGCCTGATAGGTGTAATCCTATAGTGCGGTACTTACCTTCATAAAGATTGACTAGGAAGTGATCCGTTCGTCTAGGCTCTGTCATAGTCAGGGCAGCAACCGATATCGGTCGCTCTGCCTCGATGGAAATTCGTGAAAGTCCATCAGCTACAACGTTCTTCGCCCCTGAAATCCTCTCTACAATATAATCATAAACCCGAATCCTGATCAGCCATCGTGCGATCGTAGGATCCGTCAAACTGAAATCCTTCTGTAGGACTGAAGCTACAGCTGTAGGGTCTACCCTAAAAACGAATCGTCTCTTGTATATGTAATGCCTAAAGGTATCTAAGCACCGTAGAACCGCCAACACTTCCTTCTTAAACTGACTGTAGTTGCATTCAGCAGTGTTGAGTGTTCGACTCTTGAACCTTAATGGTCTTTCTCTGCCTTCAGCATCCTTCTGAGATAGCAATCCCCAAACCGAACATGGTCCAACGTCCGTAGACACTATGAACGGTTTGTCCATCTCGTCCTCAAAGAATGACACACCTAGAATTCGGCCACCTTCTTTAAATTCTTCCTTGAGGGATTGCACCGCAAGCTCCCAGTAGAACTTTTCGGTTTTCCTAAGAAGAGTGCGCTGAGGCTCTGCCTTCTCCGCATATCCGCGTATGAAAATCCGCCAATATCCTACAACCCCTGAGAATTGACGGACTTTGGTAGCACTGTGTAAAGGGGTCGGCCAGTTCAACAATTTCTCTAACTTTCCTGGATCGGGTCGTCGCCCTTTTGCGTCGCATATAAGCCCCAGAATCTTCATCGTTGATACGGCCCATCGACTCTTTGTCCTGCTAACTGTCAGGTTAGCTTCATCCAGTTGTTCCAGAAGAGCGTAAATGTCCGTCAGGTGTTGGTCTACGAACCTCCTGACGCCAGGAGCGACTTCCGTTTCATCTTTCAGCCCATGAATCTTAATCGTTGATACGGCCCATCTTCCGTAAAATCGTCTAAGAAAACTTCTACTTTATCGGGGATAAAGTCTTTCAGAACAGCTACCATGGCTCTCTGAAAAACCGCTACCCCATTGGTCCATCCCATCGGAACGACCATCATCTGCACTAATCCGAGCGGCGTGTGCATGGCCGTGAGATGCCTGTCTCTCGGATCTAGTGGTATCTCGTCATATCCTGAAAATAAATCGCAGACAAAATAAATGGATCTGCTTGCCGCCCCTACTGCTAACAGATCGGCGTGCGGTACCGAGCCTACATCCCTAATCGTCACAGCATTGACCTTCTGAAGGTCTTGAATCCACCTAATCTTTCCGTTGGGCTTCCATAAGAAGAACAATCTATTCGCGTACGCGCTATCACATGACTCAGCTACGTGCGATGCCATCTTCTCTTTGAGAAAGGAGATCACCTCTTCCTTCTCTGTCTGAGCAAACTTTCACCCTGCGTCATTCCACGGCACATGTGGAATCGTGTAGATCCTTGCCGGCTTAGCATATCTAGGATCAATCCTTCCTCTCTCCGCATCCCTGAATGTTATAACTTTGTCGCTAGACTTAAGAACTTCCAACACTCGCTCTCTCTCCGGCTCAGTTAGATTCCCATCGCCTATGTCCATCTCTACTATCCTCTTTTCCGTTAGCCGTTGCGGCTCTTTTCTCTTCTTTTCCTTAATTTCTCTAACGATCTCTTCCTCAGATACTCCATCTAACGCTGATCACTCTCGAGCTACGACCGCGGGCTTTACGTTCTGAGCTACTGCCTGTGTCTTTTTGGTCGCCCCCCGCCCCCCGCAGGGGGCTGTGCCCCTAAAAAAGACACAGATATCACGCCGCCAAACTCCTCATCTTCCTCCTTTGGATACGAGTTACCGTCCACTATCAGTCGACTCCCTAAATCTTCCACTTCTACAATCCCGCCTTCTTCTTCTGTGAGTAGAGGTCCATACTTCTTCTCGCGAAATCGAACCGCGCGGCCGGAGATAGGTAATGACTTAATCCGATTACTGGGTCTCGCAGGGTCTCGAGGCTCCACCGTCTCAATCATAACCCGCGTCCCATCTAGCTTCTTAATGGACAATGCCTGGCTCCCGCCCGGTCGCTCTATCGTCACCGCATGCACGTGGCTCAACCACGTCCGTCCCAAGAGCAGGTCAGAGCTGCAGTTCTTGACTGCAAAGACTGGCAGGGTCACTCGTACCCCTTGGACCTCTATAGCTGCCTTGTGACAAACCCCGGTGATCTGTTGTTTTCTCCCATCAGCCGTCTCTATCTCGAATAAGTATGACCTATCGAGTCCGGGTCCAACTTGCTCTGCCAGATCCTCTTCTATAATGACAGCCTCGCTGCTGTTATCGATCACAGCATCCAGTACCGCTCCGTCGTTTAGGATCGCCTCCATGGCCCCACTACCAAGTGTGTAAAACTTGTCTGGAGGCACACCTTTCATCCCATCAAGAAGAACTGTCGCCATGCGATCCGCTCTAGCAGTCACCTCCGACACTGCTACAGTAAGAGCATTCGCCTTAGGAGTCATCCTGAACTTCCTCTGATAGAGGTATGCGTGTCTTCCGCGTGATCATCTGTAACTCGTCGCGAGCTGGCTTGGATGCTGCCAGATACTCAAAAATATAGCACTGCATGGGCTGCCGAAGGGCCCGTCTCAATGGCTCGACCGTGTCAATCTCATCCAGCGAACTCTTCATCAAGAACTTCTTCACTCCCCGCTTTCGTGGCGAAAGAATAACCTCCTCTCCATCGATCCGCTGTCCGTCCTTCTCCGCCATCACGTAATCCGTGTCAGTCTTCTTTGATGTAGACCCTCTCGCCGACTTGGTAGCTGCCACCCTTATGGGTGTGGTTGCCATATCTCCTTCGAAGGTTATCTTGATGCTCTGGCTCCTAACCGGCTCCTTTGCTTCACTCGGCTTTACTCTCCTTGCCTCTACATTCTCCTTCATCGAAGGGAACATTGATACGTCTCCCAGCTCATCTGCCCACTTGACGTATTTGCGGTCATCACGCACGACAAGTCCCTCATCTATTGCCCGTTTAAGATCCGGACAGTCTCTCTTGATATGATCATCCCCTCTACAGTAGATGCAAGAGTTCCTGGGAGTGGATGGCCTGTCGTCTACACTCCTAGGGATCGAACCCCTGGCTGGCCTGGGGTCAGGAGACTTCGGATACGGATGAGATGACGCGCCATATCCGCCTCTCTCATTTCGGTCACGTGAATCATTGCGGCGGTCTCCTCTAGGTACTCCTTGCCCATATTGTCCTCGTGAATCGTTTCGGCGGTCCCCAGAGTCGTATCGCCCGCGTGACTCATCGCGTCGATCTCCTCGGTTGTACCACCCCCGCGAGTCGTCGTGCTGTTCTCTCGGGTATCCCCCGCGGTCATACATGCCACGCGAATCATCTCGTCGGTCTCCTTCTCAATTTCCTCTCTCATATCTGCTGCTCCTGTATCCATCTCGGTCCGGCCTCTCATATCCATCGTCCCTGTATCCATCTCGTCGGCCCTAATCCGACTCCCACCTGCCTCGAGAGTCGCCTCTACCCCCGTCAACCTCATATCGAGGGCTGCGCGAATAATCATCCAGTCTCCTGGCTTGTCCATATGTCTCGCGAGTCCTGCGCTCCCGGTCTATCTCATCATCCCTGCGTCGCCACAGCTCATCGTCTCTCTCCCTTTCTATTGCACGATAATCAGTTAGCATTCGAGGATTTCTATCCTCGACACTCCTCCAAGAATCGGTTCTCCTACGGTCCCAGCGAAGTGAATAGGCCCCTCCGGGTTTGTCCCGGTAAGTCGCGGCTCATGTGCTCGTCCCAATCTCTGTAACCTGTCTTCTCAATCCCTTCACCATGTCCCTTATCTCCTTCACTTCCTCGGCCACTGCTTCATTATTTTCCGTCCAGGGATAGTCTTTGAAATCAGGACATCTATCAGTAGCATACTCCTTATAGAGAGAGAAATCACGCCTTCTCATTCCTCTCCATACCAAGTCCTTATACTCATCTGCCTCTGCCTTTATTGCGAGCTTTAGGACTTCAGGGAAGTCAAGCTTGTCGCGAGGAAGATCTCTAATTACACTCTTTTGTCTGCCTTTGGACAGGTGTCCAATGAAGATAGTACAGCGCTCGACCTTTGAGATCTTCCCCTTCTTCATCAGCACGTCTGAGATCTTTTGGAAGTGCTTCCCAAATGCCCGTACGCTCTCATCTTCATCTTGAGTCATAGTCTCAAGGTCCTTGATGGACTATTTGTTATCCTCTAGCTTGTAAAGTTCAACGAGGTTTTTCTTATACGTGGTCCACCTTTCATCCTTTGGTCGGGCTTCCTTAACCTCCTTGCCGAGGCTTGGATCTACATTAAATAGGAAGATTTTCACAATCTCCTCCTCCGACCAATGACTCCGGCTTGCATGAAGCTCCCACTTCTCCAGATATTCTGTGATGCCATAACCCCTAAAAGTAGGAGGCTCAGAGGCCCTGTGCGTAATAATATAGCGATCCTTGCTCTCGTAAGGGAGGGGATGCGACTCCCCTGTCTGGGGGTCGAAGACTCGCCTGGGCGGCGCCCTGTCTCTATCTCTGTCCCTCCAATAGGAATCCCTCGAACTCTCTCTCCAGTCGTCCCTGTGCCTATCCGCCATGGTTTCCCTCCGCTCATACTCGGGGGAGCGTCGTCTCGTCGCTTCTCGTCGACCGCTTGAGATTCCTGTCTTCAATGCCTCCTCCGGCTCAGTTACAAATGATTCTCCCGTCACGTCAGGTTCCCTGTCATTGGTCTGGTCAGCCCATCTCAAAGGTGCTCTTAGCCTAATTCGTTCCTTCAGTCCCCTCAGTACACGGTCGGGCGATGTCCTGTACTCCTCTCCCACTTGGCCTGCGGTCGGTTGGGGCTCCATTGTATCGGATTCCATACACTTTCCTCCTCCTGATTTGCCAGGTCAACACCGACACCCTGAACCTGTGAATGAATCCTCAGCCCGGACGTATGAAAGAATCCACAACCCGGACCTATTAAAGTATCCGCAACCCGGACCTATGAAAGAATCCGCAGCCCGGACCTATGAAAGTATCCGCAGCCCAGACCTATGAAAGAATCCGCAACCCGGACCTATGAAAGAATCCGCAGCCCGGACCTATGAAAGTATCCGCAGCCCGGACCTATGAAAGAATCCGCCGAAAAAAAATAACAATCACTCGTCTACGACCGCTCTCGGGATCGCAACAAGTCTCCCAGCCTCGTCTCGTATCTCGTGCTCACCCTCGATACCTAGAATCCCGGAGTCAAAGTAAAGTTCTCCCTCCTGCTCTTCTATGCAACGAACGCCTTTCCTAATCTCTATAACTCCGGACTCTAATATCCTTACTCTCCTACAAATCCTTGTCGCGATCCTCCTCAACTCTTTTGGTGCACAAGAATGCAAACTCCCTTGTAGGTCGACCGATGTCCTCCGTGCTAGATCACTCAACCCGTGATGTGCGACTCGAGCTCCTGCAAGCGGGTAATCACCCCCTACGGCCATCGAACTTAAAGTATCGGAGTGCTAGGCCAACCACTGCCTCATTGCTTCTCCCTCGAACCACCTGACGTGGTACAGGAGGTCTAGGTAACCCCTGAAAGAGCGTAATCCGAGTGGTCCAGATTACCTCCTTACCTAGCGCTTGGAGCCTATCCCGCTCATTCTCAACGACTTCTTCCGCGCGCTCCCAGCACCGACTGTAAATCAAATCGCCTTCTCGTTCAGTTGGGAGGTAAATTCTAACATCATACACCTCAACTGTAAGGAACCGAACAGTGATAATGTAAAGACGTATCTGCTCCCATCCGTTGTCCACTAACTCATATGTCTCTACTTCGTACGGAATCACTTCTCTTCTACCTAGGGAGCTTAATTTCTCGCAAATCTCCGCCAACACGTCGTCCGAAGGTCTGTTTCCGACAAGAAACCTCTCTCTTCTCGACTGTAATTCCCTCTCTAAGACAGTTGTATCTTTACTCATTCCCTCATGCTATTCATCCTTCGTAGTCTTCTTAAACTTGCCCTCAATCCTGACCGTCCGAGCGAATCCAACTACAGCCTCCCATTTGTTTCTCTCTAACCCTTGACATGGAACAGGTGGCCTGGGTAGACCGTCAAAAATAGTGATGTCGTCGCAGACCTCCACAATCTTTCCCAAACTTTCGAACCTCTTTTCCTCTTCTCGCAATGTCCACGCAGCTCTCCTCCAAGTCCTTCCGTATACACAAAATTCTTCTCTTTCCTTAGGTAGTTATATGCCAACGTGATACACCTCTAAGTCATGAAACCGGACGGTCATAATATAGTATTGATTGCGTTCAATCCCACTGTTCTACACTTGGTACTTAATGACCTCGTACGGAAACACTTCTCGCCTTCCAATCGCGCTCAATTCCTTAAGCACTCTCTCGTGCTCGGATCCACTAGGACCACTCCAACCTCCGAATTTCCACCTCCTCCTTGTTAGTTCCGCCTCTGATAGTGGCATCTCTTACAGTCTCCATGAAGTGTCTAACATCCTGCCTCTATTAGGGCTAAGGCCAACAAGATCCTGTTTGTCGATTCCTCCAGAAGCTGATAGAACGTCTCAAAATCGTCTATATCCCCGCAATCTTCAATCGCAGCTAAGGTCCAGAGAAACTCACTCCGGTACTGGTCGTGTGCTTTGTAAATCTTTAAAACATAACTCTCTGTTATGATCGTAGCAAAGTCTCCAGACACTTCGGCTTCACTTTTTAGGAGTCTCTCTGCTTTCTTAGGAGACTCGCGCCACTCTCTACTCAGGGTCACTCCATCGTAGGGGGACAAGTGCAGCGAATAGTAGATCAGTCGTGCACTTCCCTCTCCTACCCAGAGCCTAGTCACTCGCGCCTTCTGAACCGCTTCTCTGGTGCTCTCTGCTTCTTCAATCACGGTAAGCCTCTCTAGTTGCTCTAACTGTATTCTAACGCGAGCTGTTGGTCCTTCCAACTTTCCTATAACTCGCATAGAACACCTTTCGCTACTCATCCTCCCTTCTCATCCTTCGTCGCCCTCAGCAACGTCTTTCTTCTCGTCTGATGTTGCAGTCTCTATTAACTCCTCTTTCCTTCCCGTCGACTCCAGTGACCCTTCGTCCCCTAGACTTCTCCTCTTGACACTCTCTAGAAATTCTAACCTCCACCTCCTAAAGAAGTGTCTGTCCTCTATAAGAAGTCTTCTTAAGGCCTTCGTTGCACCCTCTATTTTACGCAGTTCACTCTTTTCCTTGTTAGGCCCGCAGTCCTGAATCTTGATACTGACCTCTTTGACGCGCTCAGCGATTCGTTTAACAATACGCTCCTTTATTATCTTCTCTCTTCCTACTAGATCTTCCATCCTCTGCAATCCATCACTCTTCTTACTGTGAACTTCTATCACATACTGCTGCGAGCCTCCGAGGGTGTCTCGTCCCGAATTATCTCCAAGCGTACTCTTCCTTTAACGCATACGATCACCTCATATACTACCCAGCTCTGCGTCGTCAATTCCCTCAAGGCACCAGGTCTCTGCTCTCGTATGACGTCTTCCGCAAGTTCTTTGAACTCGATGTCTGACAGTTCCACTTCTATGCACACCTTCAAGAGAATCTGTAGGGTCCTGCTGTCACACGCTAGCTGCCTAGAGACAACCCGAGCATAGGGAAGACGTCACCGAGGAGAGGGACTCCTCGTCTCAATTCCTCGAGTAGCTACTCAGGGGTTCCTCTCACTCACGCTCCTCCAGGACTCGGTCCCTCTGCGGTCCCACCGAAGTGAATACGAGGCTCGAGGTCTATATCGATACAGTTGCTGCTCGTGTTCCGTCATGACAGGCTAATCATACTCTACCCCTGGCTTCCGCTACAGTGTCATCGAAGAACAATTCCGCTCACAAGTACCCTGCTGACCACACCATCACCTCGTATGATATCTTGGTATGAAAAGTAACGCATTCGAGAACTCCTGGCCTATACTCCTGAATAAACTCTCTGGCTTGTAGGAAACTCTCTTGCTGTGTCAGGTTGTTGTCTATGTGAGCCCTGAGTAGGACAGTAGACCGAAACCCTCGTTCACTAATTGCCTCCTCACACTAACTCCCGTAATCGTCCGACCTGACATCTCCTCCACTAGCTATGCCCAAACAGATATCGTAGGTCCTCCAGCCCGATGAACTTGTCTTCTGCGCGTCTTTGACAATAGTGAATCAAATCTTCAGGTCTTAGACAGTCTAGCCAGCAGGTGGCATCGAACAAGTCTCTCTGGATCTCCTTACCAGGAGGTCCCCACCTTACGCAGACTGAGTAATATGCTTCTAGAAATCGACGCTCTAGTCCCCGTAAGAACGCGTGCTGAGTGTGGTCGGCCGCTTTCGTCAACCAGTCCACGCTTCCGTAAGTTTGTTCTATAACAAACTCAGGTAACACCATCCGCCAGCTCCCTAGCGGATGGTAAATCTGTGGAGGAGAACCGACCACGATTCGCATGGTAAAAGGCCTACTTATAGCATTGCTAACCAGTTGTCTTCTCACTATCGCCTCCGCTAAGATCTCATATTTCCACCAGATCCTGCTAACGCCTACAAGTGTCAGCCC